GTTTGATGGCTTACAAGGCTCTGGACTGTGTAGCTTTGTAGTTCCAATAGCAACTTCAGCTCGCGACGTCCGTGGACTAAGCTCCACACTTCCGAGCTCGCGGTATTCCGTTTTCCTCGACCACAGATCTACGAGTACACTGCGACTTCGTGTGACGGGAGTCGTGGTTTCATTGTCAACGAGGGCGCGCGTACCATATCACTATGATGAGGCCATCTGAACGCGGAGCTCTGCTTTGTTGTGCTTTACGTGTGCCGAGATCATCGTGTCTGAATGCCTGATGCTAGTTCTGACCGGTCGTCAATCTCGCAAATCGGTAGCTGACAATAGACTGGTGTGTTACGTGTGTGGAAGCTGAGGAAACGATGACACCATCGTTTTCTCCGATTCCTCCTCCTCGTCCTCTTGGAGGAAACTGGTGCTGTTGACCAGACGCCGAAGTGGCACGATTTCCAAAGGGAATTCTATCTTTGTTCTTCTGTTTGGCATTGTAGGCGAAGCGGCGCGAGCTGACTTTTTTCACGATCAGAGAGGCATATTTTGTACACGCATCACGCGCTCAAGATGCACACACATACATACTTGCATCACGCTCAAGACATACGTACATGTTGTGCCTGGTCTACCTCCATCATTGCTGCAAGATTCTGTACGTTAAGATCTCCATACATCAACAAAAGTAACGCGACCACAGCTTTGTTCTGCGTCAGAGGGGGAAGAAGTACGTCGCTAACCGTCGTCTCGAAGGGAGGTGTTCTCGGAGCGCTTTGGCGCGTTGTCCAGTATCTTGACGCATTCAAAAGCACGTGGCTTCCGTACAATGTTGATTCAAGAAGCATGAACGGAAAAGGATGTATCCAGATTCGAACGACCGTACAACGTGATGGTGGTATGCAACGACATTTCCCGTGTTTGTTGTGAGTGGTGACGACATTTAGGTCACATAGCAAGATAATGAGTTGCTACGTAAGAAGCCGCGAGAGGAAACAGGGGTCCTGGTCTCATTGCGAGTACCGCTCAGTCTCATTGCGGATGTCGAATGATCTCCCGAAGGCGACAATGATCAATTGTGAGGCATAAAGACACGTGCAGGTCGTTCAGGAGGAGCTTGCAGCAATGTGCGCTGGTATTAAGTCAAATAGGAGTCCGATGAACCCGTTAAGATGTCGATACACAAATGATTGGGTCAACAGAGAGAGAATGCAAGTACCATTGTATCATGTCAAGCGAATGGCTGGAAACATTCAATTTATAAGGAGATGCGATGCACACGGTACGGGTTCGCTTTCTTGCTCATCGTCTGTCCAAGAGGTTCGTGCAAGCTGTGTCCTCTTGGACTGCGCTCAGAGATAGTCTTCTTGTCGATGTCGACAGACTGGTTCTTTTCCAAACAGGACAAGAAGATGTGTGAACTCGCTGCGCACACGCCACACCGCAAGTATGCGCTGCTGCTTACATTCGAGTTGAGTACAAGATATTGTGCCACCATATGCTCTACGACGTTGTTGCGGTCGCGTACCCGCAGCTACTTTCGTCTTCTTAGGCAGTGACATCACAAGTCCGTCATACGCGCCACGCCACTGGCTAAGCCTACACGCAACACAGCATCCAGGATCAACTAACAACTATGCTGCTTCCGTCGTGGACCCTGCACGTCCAGGCACAGAAAGTCTGGATTCAGTACACGACGTAGGACAGTCTACATCATTAGCCACGTCGAGCAGCCGTTCTGGCAATATGCACTTGTGCTCTGTTGCCATTCGCTCCTCACATAGCAACACCTGCATGGACACGTCAGATGTACATTGTTGCATCAGCGAGTGCTGTTCTTGTGTAGCTAGCGGAGTGAAAGAGCGCCTCATAAGAAGGAACTTGTCCAGACGGCCTTGTGCGGCGATGGTAGAAGCTCACGGCATTGCAGAACGACATCGCATGCAGTGCGGCAGCGATCACCCGACTTAGCTATTAGACATGACGCCACGTTGACAGCGATCGTCCACCACGAGTTGCTGAACCACAGATACATCGCGAAACGTCACTAGTGGTTGAATCAGGGAGGACGGCGGGGAGCCAGCCTTTGTCTCTCGTGCACGTGTCCGGGCCCAGCACATGTGTACAATGGGGCGATCGCACCACGTGGTGCATCAAGCGAGACAGACGTGGGAACTCCGTGTCAAGCGCATTTCTATCCAACTATCTGCTGAGTCTGTTGTTACACGTACTGGACAATGGCATGTACAGCTTCTCCCACCCGCTAGTGCTAGCGACGTGTTGGCCGTGGAAGGGCGTTCCATACTGAAGCACGCGAGATCGACACAGGAATGCACCGAGCGAGAACGCGATGGAACGGGCAGAGGCGAAGGGGCTATCGAGCAGAAACGCTGAAGCGTCGAGGCGACAAAATGGTCATAAGCACGTCGTGCAGCGAGTCGTGTAGGTAGGTAGGACAAGCACGTGGTGTCGTTACCGGAACGCTTGTTGCACGCAACTTCGCTCGTAAGTGGATAAAGAGCGGCCCGCCACTGCCCAACACTGCTTTTCCCACTGCGCCTGTGCGGTCGTTGCGACCCTAAAGCATAGCGCAACCACCTGGCGCAGGTCGATCGCGCGAGGAAGCTACAGGGGCTCTGTATGGACGTGGTCCGCACGCAAGCGTCATCGTCTGATGGCGGAGAGTCCAACTCGTCCTAGTGGTATGGCCACAATGATCAGAATCCTAACAAAGGGAAGATGGTCCATGGCAAATGAATGGTTGCGAGCCCCTGTCTGTCGCAGGCGACACGAGCGGTGGTGGCTGCCCAGGATCTTGATACATCTCCCGCGGCTCAGATCGAGGCAGTCGCTCTCGAACCGGACGTTGTCTTGGCCTTGCGTGTCAATCGACGGCGACGGCGACGGGGAAGCTGATTACTGCACCGCAGTGCCGATGATTACGTCCGAAACGACCACGTGATCGGAGCAGCCGACGCGCGTTATCGCATCTGCGACTGAAGGACGCGGGCGAACGTGGTGGAGCATTAGCACCTGCGTTCTCGACCCACTATTTGGAGATGCTGTCCTCCGCGAGGATACGTGGCAACGGGCGGCGGCGCATCAGCTCCCTTTCCAGGTATGGAAGCCATGCCTGGAAAGATAGCTGATGCGCCGCCGCCATGGCAATGGACTCTCAGGCATTCAAGGTTGGACGGCGTATCGCGTCGCCACCAAGCGACTCAATTTCTATCACGCCGGACGTGCTACCGGCAATAGCTGCCGTGCCCTACCGGCGCGTCACGGGATGCCCGAAACTTCGAGTCCCGTTTTTTGGGATTGCCAGAAGGCGAGAGCGTGCTGGGGTAAAGTCCTCAGCCACTGGACTGGCGCTACAGTGTCGCCTCCAGTTGTTGCTAGTTGATCGGCAACTGTGCAACTCGCCAGGCTCCGGCGAGCCCGGTGCTTCAGCGGTCTCGGTTGCTCGAGCGGCTTCAAGACGATCCCGCGGCGGGCGAATAGATGTGGCAAAGGATTCGGTTGGTGGTGAGGTCCATTTGCGTCACGCACGTCTAGAGTGAGCGCAACGACGCAGTATTTAGGGGCGTGCAGTCCACGATGTCTCAAAGTGTTGTCCGCTTCTGGTCTACGGGCGTACGCCAATTGACTGCCTTGGCTATGCGTGGACATAGAGCGGCGGCCACAGTGCTTCAAGGGGCTTCATTGCATGCCTCCCTTGAATTATTTACGGTAGAGGCTAGCGGGGCTTCGCTACCACTAGAGAGAGGGGTGCCAGGAATCACCGCCGCGACCGGCGCTGTGTTCTCGGCTTCGAAGGTTTCAGACTTCCAGCGCATAACCAATATGTGAAGTCGACACTCATGAATCTCTCTCTCTCTCTCTCTCTCTCTCTCACTATTTGGACACTTGCACTGCGACGAGATACATGACGACACACGTGACGAGCGCTTTGTCGGACGAAATGGACGTGAGAAATTCCGCACGTGGCAGTGGGCGGACCTTTTCCGTCTGCGGGAGCACAATCCACTTTGATTCCTGCCTTCGCTCGATCGGTTGGTCGTCCATAGCACAGTATGACCGCATCTGCTGGAGTAGGAAGGAAGTAGATGTCGTCTGCCTCAACTGCTTTGCGAAATGGAAAGAACTATACCCGTAACATCCCCGTACCAGTTCGTCTCTCGAGCGTGCGACGCTTCTGCGAGCACCACAGTCTCTTCAGGCAGCGAGCGCACAGGCGTCCAACGCGTATCGATTCATTGCATGCGAATCACGGGGTCCGCGTTTTTCTGATCCGGCCATGGCGTCGCAAGAGTGGGCCACGTTTACGCGAACGAGTGAGCTGCCAACACGCACGTGACGCTCACCTGTCCGTGCCGAGCCCGCTCTTTCTCCACACGCCGCGTGATGGGAGAGATAGGCAGAGAGAGGGTCGCGCTCGAATCGACGCCCCTGACGTCGTACTGGACGAGGGATCCCGTGCTGTGGGTGTGTGTGTGTGTGTGTGTGTGTGCACGTGGCCCGTCGTCACCCACATGCGTTTCGGATCGGGGACCCTGAGACAAGTCCCGATATGCATCAAATGGGTTCGCGCCAGTCCGTCCGTCCGTGTCCGTGTCCGTGTCCGTGTCCGTGGACGACAGACAGACAGACAGACAGACAGACAGACAGACAGACAGAAGAAGATAGACAGATAGACAGCCGACCTGCCTCGTGACCCAGCCAAGATCTTCTCGGCACACACCCACCCACGCACACCGTCGCCGCCAGCCATCAAAAGCCTCGTTCTTGATTGATTGATCGCCGAAACAGAGCCACCCGCTGAGCCAGCGCCCTGTCAAGTGTGACGAGCTCCGAGTCGCTTCTCGGCACAGCTCTGTCGCTCACTTTGCAACTTGCGCCCGTCCATTCATTCATTCATTCATTCATTCATTCGCTCACTTATCTATCCACTCCGTCCCCCAGTGCACGGCACGGGATCATCATCGCCCGAGACGCCTTCAGCAGAGACCATGCAATTCCTCACTCACGTCGCATTCCTCGTGGCGCTTCTTCTCGTCTCGCTCACTGTCTGCGAGGGCACACGTGCTGTTAGCCATTCGAACGACCCCACGAGCAGAGCAGCGGAAGACAACGACCGCCGCGCTGCAGTGGGGCTGAACTTCAGGGGACTGTCGACGGCTCCTGGGGCCGCCTCGAGTCCGGAAGAGCGAAGGGGAGGAGGAGCTCCTGTAAGCGCAACGGGCGGCCTGCACGCGGTGCCTCACAGCCATCCGATCAGAGTGGAGAAGGAGATGGTGGAGAACCCCAAGTATGTCAACAACGGTCTCTTCCAGCGCATTGAGCGATGGTTTGGCTTGTGAGGGGGTGGGGCGCGGCGGCCACAACGCGTGTTCGGCGTCTTTTTTTGCGAGCAAGTTCAGGTCGAGCGAACCAGTGGGGTCGAAGGAAGCGCGGGCGGTGGCGTTGCGTGTGTGTTGATTGACCCCACTCGACACGAACGGGGGGGGGAGAGGGAGCGTCAGAGCGTGTGAGTGTAAAGAGAGAGACTGAGAGAGAGAGAGAGAGAGAGAGAGAGAGACGTGTCGACTTTATGAATTCTAATGGCATGTGAATAGCATTCGTGTTCGTGTTTGTTAGTGGTATTGCTACTGTCTGGTAAAGACTCTGTTGCACCTGTCGGTCAGGTGCCACGTCCTCTTGTCGGTACATCAGGTTGTCTTGTACAGTGGACTTCATCAAGAGTCGAGACAAAAGCAGTGGCTGTTGCTGCGTCAGGACAACACGGGCCAATGCAGGACACCGACTTGATCGCAACCCCTTCTTGTTGAATGACAGTCAGTCAATACCCAGAGATGGGACCACGGAGCAGTGTGTAGGCGGTGAGCATTGGCGATGAGCATTCATTTCGCTCCCTGTGCGCTCTGCCGGCGTGGACATGGACAAGTGACTCAACACAGCAGCACACCAAAGACCTGTGCATGCAGTCACCCATTCGCGTGTAGAGGTCTTTGGTGTCTGCTAACCCACGGGCGCAACTCGTATGGAAACTGCAGCTGACAGTGACCCTCGGCAAAGACAATCGCGTCGTAAACTTCGATCGTCGTGCTGCGTCTCTCGATCGTCGCAGTCGAAGTCGCTGTATTCACAGTTTTCCACTTGGATGCTGGTCGAGAAACAGACAGATACAGCACCAACTACTGTCAGAACGTGTTCAGCACCAGAAGAGCACTTTCAGCGAGCCAGAAGAGCACTTTCAGCACCAGTCGAGCACTTTCAGCACCAGTCGAGCACAATTGACGTGACCACATCTGAGAGAGCGCTCACGCTGTTCCACGAACTCTAACGCTATCTGCGCGTCCAATGCTCCCTGCGTATCGAATTTCCGGAAGCATTTTGCTGCGTCGTAGGTAGCAGATACACTAGCGGCAGCAGGTGTTTCGCTTGATACAGCACTGTGCATTCGTTCACTTTGATGCGGCAAGGTCAGGCGTCACCAAAGCGCTAGCAGCAGCCAGTGCCTGCTCGAAATCAGCCCAGATATCTTCAGGGTCTTCTTGGCCGATGGATATGCGAATGAGATTACGGTCGACGCCACAAGTCTCTACAAAGTCCAGCTCCCCATAGTGCGCAAGCAGCGTGTACGGACACGCCAAAGTAAAGTTCGTGCCGAGACTCGGACCTTTTGCAATCGTCAGTGTGTCGTAGAACGCCTTCGCCGGCTCGAGTCCACCGTGCAGCAAAATAGAGACCAGTGGACCGTACCGAGGCGTATCGGTCTCTCCAGGCAGATGCAAGAATGGATCATAAAGGGTCCTGGTGTCGCCCCGCGTCGGGTAATACACGTCCTTGACCACCGGGTGCGTCACCAGTCGCTCTACAATCGTCGCCGCACTTGCATTTGTCTTTGCCAGCCGTTCAGTCAGGTTTTCCGACTGCTCCAGCAACACCTCAACGTCGTCTTCGGCCAAGAACGAGTCCACGTCCGGTGCAAAGACCGTCCGTAGCTCGTCCGCCATCACACTCGCCGGGTTCAGCACGACGCTGCCTGCCATCACAGTGCCCGAGCCGCTAAAGATCTTGGACAGACTCGTCACCACGAGGTCGGCGCAGCCCTGTTGCATCACATTGACATTGAACGACCCCACTGTGTCGTCCACCACGAGCACTGTGCCCTGTGCGTGGGCACAGGCCGCCAGCCGCTTGAGCTGCACCATCGACAGCAACGGGTTACTGGGGAACTCGGTCCAGATCCCCAGCACGTTCTTCTCCGTTGCAACGATCGCTTCCACCGCCTGCAGGTCGGCTTCGGACCCAGTGGGGAAAAAGTGCACGCCCTGCGCACACCACTCGCGCCTCGACAGTATCTTGAGCGTATCCACGTACGAAAAGCCGACCAAAATGCCTCTGCCGTCGCGTCCTCGAAGCTGTTGCAGCAGCCGCACAGTGGCGAACAGAGCGGCCATGCCCGTTGGGTAGAGCGCGACGGGGGTGTCACTATCGAGAGGGGACTCGAAATAGCGGGCAGCTACGCGCGCCTGGAGCGCGCGGTGCTTGGCCGTCTGTCCTAGTCTAGGCACGGCCAGTCTGGACGGGTCCGCGTGCTGGAGCGCGTGAAGTAGCTGCAGCGCGTGCCGCGACGACACGATCTCGCCCGCGTGCTGCCAAAAGTGTTTGGCACTATGGCCCATGCACCGCGGAAAGCGGACGGCGTGGACCACGTTTTTGACAACGTGCACCGAGACGTCGGTATTTTTGACCGACGCGGGTTTGGGACCGTCGAGAAGAAAGCGGTGCAACCGTTGCGCTACTTCAGCCGTTGGCACGACCATGACCTCCCACTTGGCTACATCATTCGAGGGAGGGACTATCTGATTCTGGACCAGTGCTTGCAGCTCCACGACCACGGGATGGCGGAAGAAACGCGGGTAGCCGCAGGAGAGCGCGCTGAGCACGTCTGGTTGGCCCTCTTCGTAGGCCACGACGTGGGCCCACTTGGGCATGGACACAGAGACGGCATGGCGGGCCTGAGGAGGCAGAGAGACACCGAGGGACTGGGGCGGGAACGACGATGACGACATAAGTTGGGGGCGATGCGGTCGATGCGGTCGATGCGGTCGATGCGGGCGTGCGAACAATAAGTGGACGTGTTGTGTAGCAAATGGTGCGTTTGGGTACGAAAGGAAACGCATTTGTCCAGAGCGAAGTGTCGCAGCCTTCGCATTTGTCCAGAGCGAAGTGTCGCAGCCTTCGCATTTGTGCTTTTGAGGATGGGCGCATTTGTTTGTGCGCACTCAGACACCCTTCGAGAACAAATAAATCGTCGCAGATGCGGCTGCTAAAGTTGCGGGACGCCCGATGTAGTCGGTGGCAGCAGTGCACAGCTGTGGCTGACAGATTTCTCGACACAATAAATGGTGAGCACATGCCATGACCGATACGTGTCTGGTGTGGTACTTTTATCCGGTTTGTGTACACTTAAGCGAGACTTGTGGAGAGCTTGCTCTGATCCGGTGCTTACTACGGGTCTACCGAAGTCTTCAAGCAGACTGATAACTGAAGGAGAAGGCTACAATAGTATCCCTCGCCCTCTAGACGTCGAAATGAATACCGATCATAGCACGTGCTTGTTGCAGCATCACTTGCTGAGGGTCGACTTTCCCACTCCGTGCACGCACAAAGTTACCCGTAAACTGCACATGCTTCGACTTTGACATTGCAAGCTCAGCGTTGCCGTCAGTGTTGCAAGTAGTGCCCAAGAGAGGCTACGGGTGAGTCTCATGGTATCGCTTGAGGACCTGTCGTTGTCGATACGTGGCGCACTGAGTCGCTGCAATCAGTTCGACGGAAAAGTCTCATCAGTCGGTTAGAAGGCGCTTTGACTCAGTGGAAGCTGACGACAGTCAATGACCACACCATAACTTGATTGCAACGTAGCGCAACGTACGCGCGTCGCTTGCAATCGAAATCTCGATCTCAACCAGGCTGTATGCACATCAATACTCTGACCGCGTGACCTGCTCCGTTGCGCAACGCATACTTTTTCAGCATTGTCTGCTTAGGACCTGCAAGTTGCTCGATTAGATCAGCGATGTATTCGAGGATGCGGCCGCGCGAGCCGTTGAGCGTGTGTGGTGGATACGGAGCTGGAGTAGCGCAGTCGCGAAGAGGACTTTGTATCATGTGGTCAAGCTCTGTCAACATTTGTCGGATGGCGAAGCGCTTGCTTGTCGTTCCTTTGTTGATGCGTTGACCGCGCGAAAGCTACGCATCACGCAATTGTCGCAAGCGCACTGTGGCCGTGTGAGGACGCAGACATGACGTCGCTTGGCCACTTGCGCTTTGCCGATTGCATTGCGAGGTACTCACGCCCTTCCTCGTTGGTATCGATGCACTTGTGCATGAGCCTTCACCCCATATTCCTTTTCTTCGACATACGCCGAGAGCTTACTTTGTTCGAGCAGTCTACAGATTGTCAGTCGCAATTACTCGCGACCAATGTCGCCTTGCGTAGGTCACGCATTGCGTCGATGTCAAGGACAGCTCAAACTCGCTGCGAGGGAACAAGGCGGGAGCAACGAAAGAAAATATCAACAGAAGTGCTCGAGCAGTCTGAAGAACGCCTACGGCCAAGCCTGTGTGAGCAGGATACGCATATGCAGCTTCTTTTTGCGACAAAACCATTTCTATCTATCTACACGATAGAAACGCTGTGCTCCCCAACCCGACGAAGTCGTATCTATTCCCGTGACGACACGTCGCGTCGCAACATCCTCTGTCTCATTTTATCCACCTCCACCACGAGGCAAAAAGCAGCTCTCTTTTTTTGTCACCGTCCCGTTACTTCAGCCCCCCCACGTCTCGTGGATCCACCCGATCCCCTCCACCCGTCTGTCGTTACGACGGCCATCCGCGCCCAAGCACAGACGGCCTCGTCAAGAGCCACACCAGACCCCCTCGTAATTACACAGCACACCACAGCACAGCACAGCTCTCTCAGTGACACGTGCGTACGTACCGCACACAATGGCCGCCGTGTCGTCGTCGCTCGACGGCGCACCGGTCCCAAGTATCGTCGCCGCCGGTCTCCTCATGGGCCTCGTGCACGTCCTCACGGGACCCGACCACCTCAGTGCGCTCATTGTCCTCAGCGCCGGCTCCTCGTGGCGCTCGTGCCAACTCGGCCTGCGCTGGGGCTGCGGCCACTCGACGGGCCTCGTCGTCGTGACCGCCTGTTTCCTCGCGCTCGGGCAGCACGTGAACGTCAACGCGTTCGGCACCGACTGCGACTTCCTCGTCGGGTTCCTCATGATAGGGCTCGGGCTCTGGAGCCTGCGCCACTACCTGCTGCTGCGCCACCAGCTGTTGCAGCAACCGCCGCCGCCGCTGGCAGAAGCGACGTGGCTCCTGCGACAGGACGTCGAGCGCCCATTGGTCGACGCAGCGCAAACGAACGACACAGACGGGGCGACGCACGAGACGGGCCCGTCGCCCGCGTGGAACAAGTCGCCCCGTCTGACGGCGCGCGATGGACGACACGACGACAACGACGACGACACGACGACGACGACAGCTCCTGCTGCAACCCGTTGCTGCTGTGGCCTCGTGCAGGCGGACATTAAGAACCCGCGGACGCAGCAGCTCACGGCGTTCGCCTACGGGACGGCGCACGGCCTCGCGGGCACGGGCGGAGTGCTCGGCGTGCTGCCCGCTGTGATCCTCAACGACTGGACCAAGTCGTCGGCGTACCTCGGCGCCTTTTGCCTGTCGTCGATCGCGACCATGGGCGCCTTTGCAGCGCTCTATGGAGAGGTCACGGGCCGCGTGAGCCGCGTGTCGGCCGCGTCGCTCGTCCGCATTGGCGTCTTTTCGTCCTGTGTGTCGCTCGGGGTCGGCGTCATGTGGGTCGCGCTGGTGCTCACGGGCACGTTGGACGAGGTGTTTGGGTAAGAGCGGCGTCTTCCGGGTCGGTTGGTGCGACTTTGTTTTGTAGGTTGACGAGTCCGGGGTGAGATATACCTGAGGAGCTCTGTCGTGACACTGTGGTGGGGCTGCCGCTCCTTTTTTCAATGCGGTTGCCGTGCGAGGACAGACACTTCAACGTGAATGAGACTGTCGGATGTTGTTACATGTACAAATGGCGTGACGAGTGTTGCGTGCAGTCTTTTGGTTTGTAGCGGCGTCCGTACTCTACTCCCGATCGTATGCTACTCGCCAAACACAGCCGACATTTGGCCAGTTGCTTGGAGCCCAATCCACGCAACGCCGACGAGGAATGAGAAACACGACGAGAACATCCCGATTCGGAATTGCACGGTGAGGGAGTTGCCGCTTAGGCGACCAGTGACTTCGCCGTAGAGAGCTGCAAAGACGCCCATGATAGCGATCGACGCGACGCAGAAGGAGGCGAGGTAGGAGACTGACTTGGTCCAATCGTTCAGCACCACGGCGGGTAGTACGCCAAGAATGCCTCCAGGTCCTGCAAAGCCGTGGACGATTCCGACAAGGAGAGCCATAATCTGCACAGCAGCCGAGTTAGTGATCACATTGCAAGGACGACAGACCGTCAGCAGGTGATCGACCACCCGTCAGCTACCGACCTTTTGCGTCGTGGGTTTCTCAAAGTCGACATGTTGACAGCATATCCAATTGCGGAGGTGGCACACAGAGGACTCTCGTGTTGCAAGCTCTGCAGTATCAGCAGCTTGAGAACACGGAGCTGCAGCTAACCACCTGCCATCTTCTGACTTGAGCGGATGAAACGACGTTGACGGCGAAGCTGACGCCTCGACTACCGCACAGTCTTTTGCTGACGATATTGAGACGTGCGATGGCCTCTCTACATGAACTGAGCTTGGCAAGCGTTGCTGGGACAGTGGCATCACCAAAGTGGCCGCCGTCGCGCTCGATCTGCTCTGACTGGCGCGACTCTTCGGAAGGTGATCGCCTCCGCCCCCATCTACGACAGAAGACATGTCTTCTGTCAATCGTGCTCGGTATTTCTTGCGTTCGCGAAAGGCTGTCCACACGCCTAGGACCATCATGAAGAACCCGACGGCGTAATTGAGGTACCCCCCTACTTGGTCCAAGTCTACGGTTCGGCCAGCAGCAAAGAAGATGAGCGCCATGAAAATGAGACCGATGGAATGGCCGCAACCCCATCGAATGCCCAATGCAAACGCCCGCCACGAAGATCCAGTGGTCATGGCAGCCAATGCACTCAAGTGGTCGGGACCTGGAGGAAGTGAACCAAAGCATTGTGAAAATCTTCGATCGATTGATCGCTGGAATAGTTTGTGTGTACATGTGGACCAAAGTGTCACCGGATCAAAGCGGTTTGTATTCGTACCGGTCAAAATGTGCACAACGCCGAGGAGGAGACCAGTGGAGATGACTTTGCCCAGCGAAGCATTTGATAAACTGCTGTGCTCGTGCTCTTCGCGCAGCCATCGATTGGTGGTGGTCATGACGATTCGGCTTGAGAGTCCTGGACGACTGACTGGACAATGAGTAATGGCGTTCGCGTCGCGTAAAATCTTCCGGGACAATCAGCACTTTTTATTCACCACCTTCTGCTAATCATGATGTCTGGATCGAGTAAGATCCAGAGTGCGCGGTAATGGACCGAGGAAATGGGTACTTTGGAATCGATACCGTTTCTAAGGATACCATTTCGAAACGCGTAAAAGCCTTCTTTTGTAGTCCAGGACGAAAAGCGTGTGAAAAGTCAACTGACAGAGTTTACCGATAGTGTCCCGTCAATACACTGGTCGCCACATTGAGCTACTGGAAGCTCAATGACCGCTGCGGTGCGAAGAACTTTCACTCCTATCGATGCACTGCTCACTGAAGAATTCGTGTCGTCAACACCGTCGAGAGCAGTGGCTAGCTCGTCTCCTACAGCTCAATATTGAGCCTGTTACAGAGAGCATACGCAAGCTCATCCTATAGATGTTACTTTTTGGATGTGGAACAAAAAACGCTGCCCAGTGTTGTAGACAGAGAAAGCCACTCACGTCAGGACACTGAGTGTGCCACAAGGTCGGATGTGCTCTCAAAACTATGCGATAGATATTGCACTGTCGACTGTGATTGCAGTGTACGCACTGCTATTCACAGCTTCATGACCTTCCTCGTCTTGCTAGAGCTATAGGATAGGGCTAGTCGATAATCTTATGGCTGGCAACGGGGACGTTGCAGGAAACTGTTGCGCACGAACATCTGGCAAAACGGATCCCATTCCAGCGGGCAAGAGCCACATCCTGCAGTTCGCGAGTGGCTATAGACACTTCAGTGATCTTGTAACCCGTAATGGTAGCTAGCCAAACTGGTTTCTCTCCACCCCTTTGTAATCATCAGAGCAAGAGAGGGAGGGGAACGTGTTGCTACCACGAGGTGCTCGTGCGAAGTGGCGGCTCAATTGCTTCTTTCAATATACAGCCTAGGATCCGACCAGCAAAGTGAGGGCTCTGCTCGGGCATGAATCCAAGAAAGAACGCAAACCTCGAGGGTAGAGCTCTCTCGTTGTAAGTCTTTTGATCTTGTCGCTTCGTACAGGAAAGCACGAACACTTTGTGGTGCTTCGTGCGCTATGCTCGTTCCATGTTGGTCTCCATATGGCAGAAGAGATCATTCTCAGTGATCGGTCAGTAGTCTCGCTCAAGTCAACCAATGTTTCCAACGCCCAGTCATTCATTCGCAGTATCTCAAGGCCTCGGGAAAGCCGCCCCCTTCTCTCTGGGGTACGAAGCAAGAACTGCTCTTCTGATTGATCCTACGAGACTCACACACGAATCGATCGCAGTGTTCAGTCGATCATTCGTGCTCTTTGTAAGGACACCGACGACGAAGTTCGGTTGATGGCCCATGTAGCAAAAACGACCGGAGATACAGCAGATACCCACAAACGATGACAGCGAAGGAGATGCTGTCACCTACGATGATGACTACCCATATGGAAGACGAACGTATGAGGATTGGAAGAGGAGCTACACGGGTAACACTTAGTCTACATCTCAACGTACAAGTGTTTTAAGCACCGACCCTCAGCCATGTCAACGCACTCTTTTCGTCTCGCAAAGTGTCAATCGTAGATCGGCAAGATGCCTCGAGAGGTGACGGATGGAGAAATGCACTGACACAACAAGAGGAGGAAACGTTCGTGCGACCAGCAAGAAGTCACCGGGGTTGAGTGACATTATGCAGAGGCACACAGTTCCTATTCTAAGAAAAACGCTCAGCAGTGTCGGCCACAGCACCACGCACAAGCCGTGTACTTGATACCGAGAGCTGTTTCGTCTGGCGAGGTGCAGCTTCAGACAGCAGTGGTGGCAGAGATAACAACTCGGCGTGCTTTTGTCGAGCAAGAACAGGAGATGTTCGGTACGACGCCGGGCTCGCTGCAAGTTCAGACACTTGCAAGTGCCCAACACGTGCATACAGTTCAGAATGCGTTATCCAACAGAGCATTCTCTTCCGATTGTCATGCCGCAGCAAAGTACTAGAGACAACTTGACGAGAACGTCGCTCGTCATGTCATTCAGTTCATGGTCGATGTCGAAGCCAAGTGAAAACATAGAGCCAGGTAGCGTGCGCAGATGGCGTTGGTCCTTCAAGATTCCCTCTTCGCACGAACGAAAGCCAATACATTCGCAACTCCTGGCCGCAAACTAATCACATTCGACGTTGTGACCGGCGGCGCTCGTGCACTGGGAAGCCGTGATGTTGTTATTGAGACCAGAACCACGTTCGGCCTCGCATGATGACGACGCCAGAATGCCGACCGACACTTCGGCGTCCTTCGGTAGACTACAATCGTCACCTCGACGCACCGAAAGCCGCCAAGCTCCAGGTGTCTTTTCCATCGCCGTATCATGCGTTGCGCCATCTTGTTGAGGTATTTCCATCGGGACTGTCAGGGAGGATACTGACTATACAACACGCTACGAACGAGCTTCCCCCACCTCTTTCCTGCCCTTTCTTGACGAGAGCTGACTCACGACACGTGTACATCTGTACACGTTGTCGCACTTTGCCAAATAAATGTGTCGAGGCAGCATGCAGCAACGTATATGCTGGAGGAGTACGCTACGCTCCAGGATGACAGTCCCATTGTTGTCGACTTCTGCTGTTGTTCTCTTGCAGCTAGTTGGCAGGAAGGTGTGAGCGAACAGAAGCGAACAGAAGCGACCAAAGGGGATGGCATACGCATGCGTCCTCGTGTGATGCTTCTTGGCAGCGCATTGCTTTCCTTCGACTTGGGCTGGTCATTATTGTAAAGCACACGGGGCAACTCGCCTAGGTTTGCTGTGACGAGTTGCTCGGACCCGCTCACCGGCTGCACGGCTTTGGCGGCGAGCCCATTGCCTCGACAAACTCTGCTTGTTACGCATGGCGACGACAACACATCGACGAACGGCTTTCTCGTCTATCCCCTGCCATCTGGTTATGTTGTGGGCTGAGCCACGTCCGCCCGTCGTCGCAACGCATACGAAAGGGCGTTAGGCCATGCGATATTTGGATAAGAGTCCCTTCGTCACGGTCTACGTCCGCACTTGGGTTGTCGACACGACGAAAGAAAGCCCATAGCGGATGGGATCGGTCGAGCTGCGTGGCGCTGGGTGAGAAAACAGAGCCTGTGCACCTGAATTTGACACGACTCTCGCCTCGATGCCTCCCGACAGCCGGACGTTCCTTCACATTGTCATTTCCCATTTCATTCAGCCATTGCGAAACCGCGTTTGACCCGTGCGCGCCCGTCAAAGCCATGCGCCTGCTCGCTCTCGTGCTTTTCCTAGTGGCGACGCTAGCAGCAACCAGTGCGAGCACAACCAGCTCTGAGCGACAGTATTCCGCGGGCACGGTGGAACCTGACGACTACCGAGACGAAGAACAACGGAAAGGAGGAGGAGGAGGAGGAGGACGAGGTGGAGGAGGCGGAGGTGGAGGCGGAGATGGAGGAGGTGGTGGTGTCCATCAACCGGTAGCCAGTATGGGGTTCATGTATGGATGGGACACGCCATGGCTCGATGAATGGTTCAAGAAGTTCAGAGCTAAATTTTGGAACCGCCTTTGGTCGTAGTCAAAGAATTAAGGGACCGAGTAGCTGTTCAAACGGCGTCGCCTTCGCGCGCATCACCAACAAGTGAACGTGATGCTATCTCAGACTGGAAGAGGATACGGAGACCAGCGCTGCCGCCACACTGAACCAGTTACCACGTCCTGTACTGACTGCTAAGGAGCGTAGAATAGCAAAACGTGTAAGTCCAATGTTGTTTGTTGATCCCGTTGTTTGTGTGGCACGAAAGACAAATGGTAACGTGATCCCGACACGCGCTTTTGTTTGCAAGGGAGCGGCAACGACCAACGCTTGAGTTGGTTGGAGCTCGCACATGTCGTGCGTGACTCTCCTCCATTGTGAAAGCCGGAGACAGCATAGTCGAGTGTGTCCTTTGCTGCATTCGCACGAGCTTCAGCTATCACAAAACACAACAGCGTCTGCGCTTTCATTGATACACTACTGCACGACTCGCAAGAGAGGTCTGATGGTCGAATAAGTGCTCCATAGCAACGGTGTACTGTATGCGCGGCCAGCATCTCACTACGCGTTGTGTTGCATGCTCGACATGTGACTCTGGCGACGCCTCCGTTCTGCTCGTCCTCCGACCAAAACGCAAGATACGGCCAAGTCGCGGGCCACTTTGCACTCGGTCCTTCCGTATGCGCCGGTCGACTCTGCATGTGGTGCCTGGGATGCAATGCCTTGACGGAGAATACAAAAGTGATTGCATTAGGTCCTTAGTTCACACGCAAGCTGCTACTCTAAGCCTTCTGGAATCCATGCATTGTCGATTTTAACTGGGACTAAACTCGATGGATTGCACAACGTGCTCTTATACGGTCGGTCCGCAACCATTCTGGAGCGGGATTGCACACCGTGCGCGTAAACGACGTCGAAAGTCATTCTGGAAATAGCGCCTTGCGCTACATCCTCCCCGAGCGGAGCTCGCGTTGGTGCATTAGGAAGTCTTGCACTAAATCGCACCAATGTGTAACGTGTCTGATGTTTTTTTGCTTTTCCAGGTACACTCACGCTCTGGAAGTTTTTGCCACTGGACGAGCCACTCCGGTTGTATGCTAACCACGCGCTTTTTGACAAGCGCTTCCACAATGTGCAACTCGTCACCGGTGGCTTCATCAAGTATCACTGGTACTGCTTTCGGCACCGGTCGACTGTTAAACCGCACAGGGTTTGGACACAAAGTGGCTTAACAAATCGATGTTGAAGCTCGGGTGCAACTTGATAAGTGATCGAGGGAGAGTAAGTTCGGCCGCATTCTGGTTAACCATTTTCTCAATCTTGCACGGCCCAATCTTCTTCGCAACTAGCTTTAAATTTGTTGCATCTTGTCCGTTGTTGCGATGGCGTAGATTGAGATGTCTAGCGTCAAGCATAACCATGTACCCA